ACCATATGGTTATGGGTTTGGATATATGTAATATTTCTAATAACTGCATAAAAACATTAATCATTTTTTGGCTGCTGCAGAGAAGTTGAAATGTTAAAATGTACTATTGTTTTTATAATAGCACTTGGGGGTGTTCCCCCTCACCCCCAACATAATTTCAATCAGTTTTCAAGGTTTTTTCCCTTGCTGTGGAAAACTGGAACTCATTCAGTTGACAGGAAACTGTATGACAATGTGAATTTGAATTATGCTTTAAAAGGGTTAAATTGGAGAACTTGGAGTAACTTCTGGTGGAGCAAGTGGACCTATGAGTAGTATAGTAGATGATGGGTAATAGCTGAGACAGTGATCTGGAGCAGGTTGTCAATGTGTTTTTGTAAGTGCTCCAGTGAAGTTTTGCCTTACTGTTTTTATGGGGCTGTAAAACATTGTGTACAGCTGCAAAACATGTAGAATCCTCTTTCTCGCCTATCTGTTTCAAACTCAGACTGATCTGATTTTTAGAAGTTAATTAAAATTTTACTCTCGGCTGCCAGAGACTGATGTTGAAGGCACTGAATCAAATTCAAGGTCAAAAATCCCTTTGCATTTATTGGGGCATCATTAGGAACTGACTCTGAGATGACAGATTTGGAATAAACTGTGAAAAACATGTAATGAGAAGAAGGGAATGTGTAAATACAAAATGCTTTAGGGAAAACAAGCAAATGCAAGCCAAAAGAGAATAAAAGGGATTTCCTTCTTTGTCTTCAGTATTAGAATTTTTGTATGTTGGTTTTCTGTTTCTATCCAGTTCTGTCTAGAGTTCATACACCATGGTTCAGGTATATTCTTATATGAAGAGATGCATATATTCATAGCTAATTTTGCATTTTCTCCTCACTTTTGTGAGACATGGAAAGGTTTTTGGTTTCTTAAAAGCTAGGAATTTTTATTCCTTATTCTCTGTAGTAGAGCTAACTTCTTCTGCAGATAAAGTAGTAACTGCGTGCTTATAGGTGTAGGAAATTACGCTTATGTGTAACTGAAGACATTTGTCTTTGCAGTGTCTCATAAGAGCTCCTCAGCCTTTTTATTGTCTGCACTTCGGTAGTGTTACTCGGCCAACGTAGAAGTAATCTACCCACACTAACATTAATTATATCGTGGGGTCTGTATCACCAGACAAGATTTCCTGAAAGACATTAATGTGAAACAAATTTTAAAACCAGGCAGTATCGTTCTTGCTTTCCCCTTTTTGACAAGATATTCTTGTTTTTTTAGATGTTACTGTAGTTCTCAAAGAATAATTTATTTTTAAAACTTGCAATAAGTGTATTGGCAGGCTTTTATGTAGATATGCACATTGACTGTAAGACAAGAAATATTACAATGTTTGTTCTTGTATGATACAGAAACTTTAAAATCTTAATTTATATTTGCATTTGTTATTAAACCAGCTAAGATTCCTGGTACTAAACACCAGCTCTGTAGATCATGAAGAGTAGCTATACATATCGATATTCCAGGAAGTCATTTTGATTGTATTTTCTGAAGAAACTTCAGTAAATAGAATGATTTTTTTTAATGCTTCTGAGTTTAATAAAGGGATATTCAGGTTTTATTATGCAAACCTTTGGTTTTAGTGTGTTTGCTAAACTGAATACTGATATATATATATATATGCACTATGCTAAATATTTTTGCTATCGAGTCAGCCAGTCTAGGTAGAAGACTTCCTGTGCCTCCCTCCTTACCAGCACACCCCTGGTGCTGATACTGTGCTTCTGGAAATAGTAACTGACAGTGCTGGTGGGATTCTAAATGAGAAACACTCTAATAGAGAAACATTAATATCACAGTGTGAAAGAAAGGTGTCGTTTTCATGGTGTTGGTTGATACAGAAAGTTGGAGAGAATAAAGTGGAAAACTCATCAGTTTCTTTAAAATCGTGCAAAAGCCTTTTTGACAAAGAAGAAATCTCTTAAGAACTGTTCTTTGATATCCACGATACCTGAAGCATGGTACTACTACTTTTTTTGTCGTCTATCAGAATTCAGTTCTGCAATAACTTAACTTTGCTTATCTAGTGTTAGGTTTGATTTTTTTCAATTTTAATAGTTCAATCATATAGCAGAACAGTTAAAATTTGTAATTTAAAAGGGAAAAAAAAAAAGCTTTCATTATTGCTATTACTTATGCACCAGGAAAGCGACTGCATGTGTCCTTGCTGTTTGGGCAATCATGTTTCTAACTCAAAGGGCATTAAAAGTGCATTTGCCAAACTGAAGTTAAGTATGTTGATTTTTAGAAGAGAAAACCCCACATATGGTACTATCTGGCATGTGGTAATTATTTTTTTTAATTAGCACTTCAGCAAGAACCTAAAACTACATGTGTAAATTTTTACGGGTGGATAGTCTATTTCCCTGGAATGTTTTCCATAAACCTCTATGCTCTTCCTGAGACTTTTATGTAACATTTTGTTTGTGTTTTACAGATTAACTTCCTTCGACTTCCACATATAACCTCTGTTGTACATGTTTCCTTGAATAAATGAGGTGTATATTGTGCATGAGTCCTCGCTTTGTTGTTGCTAACACTCATGTCAAATATTTTAAGTTGTGTGCATTCTAGCTTTTGAAAGGTTCAAACTTAACACTAGGAAAACCTAGTAAGCCTGTGTTATGTTGCAGCTGTTGTCTGTGTCAGTGTTCATTATTCTGCTAAGCCTTTGCTTCATGAAAGCATTTAAAACTCGTGCTTGACTTTGACTGTTAGTAGTCTTGCTTCAGTAGAAAGAAAACTGGTTAATTTATCTGGTGTGATCTGTATGGATAAACCTTTCCATGTTACTGGAAGGCATTGGAAAATGTGCATTGGCCAGTTGTCTCTAAAGCTGGAGATAGTGCTGCTGATCAGGGCCTCATTGTCTTGTTGTGAATAGTTCATCAAATATGTATTCAAAGTCCTCATTTAGTAGGCTTGAAATAGTTAAAGAGCTAGTGAAAAATCAACATTCTGTGTAACGTACAGACAATTTGGGATAAAGGACAGCAGACATCCCTGTCATAGTCACTGTGATGATAGGGAGCTTAAGGCTTGAATTTCATTACACATTTTAACATTTTTGTTAAATTTTGTGTATGTTTGAGAAAGGTAGATAAATTATTAACCCTCATCACAAACAGCAGTAGATGTTTTGATTGTCAGTAGCTCCTGTGTAGGTGATTATTTTTTTTTTCCCCTCATCTGTTGCTTTCAGTACAGTAGCCTAGGGCTGTTGTTACCACTGCTCGGAGCATTGTCAAGCCAAAAGCATAACCGGAGTTAATAGCAGCAACCGTGTTTGTTTCCCTTCACTCTGAAATGTTTAAAATCAAAGGATTTTGAAATGCTTTTTGAAATAGATTCTGGAGACTTACCTAGATGAGGCAGAAAGTACTACACTAATGGTTTTTGTAGCTTTTCCAAGCTAAATGCTGCCTACGTGACAAACTGACTCATGTTTTGCATTTTTTTCCTAAACTGTCTGAATGTTTTGATGCTTTTGTAAGAAGCTGCATAAAATTGAAACTGAGAATTAGCTAATTAAAGATCAGTGCTAAGTCAGTGTATTAATTGATGTGCTTTAAAATTGGAATTTTGAGTTGAAATTCAAGCAGTTGCCTGAAATGATTTAGCTCTGAGGAGCTCATAATTTTTTTGGTTTTATATGTAATTTAGAACCAAATATAAACATATTCTGAGGGATAGTCATAATTACATAACTTAGATGAGTTTTGGGGCATTGTTCAAACTCCCTTAACTGTGTGTTGCTCGTTGTTATACTTGTGTTGTTAGAGCTGTTAGTTTTCAGCTATTCTGATTGGTTTATCCTTGCATGTTCACTGTCCTGGTTGCAGCATGAAGCGTGCCAGTTCTCTGAATGTTCTTAACATGGGTGGCAAGGCTACTGAAGATCATTTTCAAGTAAGAAGCCCTACAATACTCTTACAAAAATAGATATCATTAGTAGGGTTTGGGATAAAAAGAGTATGATAAATAATAAACCAACAAACTCCCAGTGATTGGTAAGATCCTACTTCAGTAAGATGTTTAAAGCGTATGCTTAAGGCATCGTTCCATAACACTTTTGTGAATTATGCTTAATTTTAAGCAGGGGCTTAAGTCCGACCAGTAAAGAGTATTGGCTTTAATGATGTTAAGCAGTCTCTGGCTTTGGACCGTCTAACTATTACAGTGGATATGAAACTTCTGGATTCTTATGTTCTTGTAAACACTAATTAAAAAACCCAAGAACTTTTAAAACCCAGTTACTAAATATTTTTTACTTCAGCCCTTTTATTCCAAAGGGCCCAATCGCCTTAATTGCTGTAGACTTTCAGATTTCCCTTAAATGTGACTTCAGGTGTTTCTGAGGTTGTACAGGAGCAGTCTCTAAAGGGTTGTCTCATCTACGTTGTGCTTCTGCTAATATCAAATCTTATTTTGCTTAACTGTAGATGGTGTGCCCAATTCCTACTTCCCATTTCCTGTTTTTACCTAATAAGTCACTGTTTCTTATGTCAAGTAAGCTAGCAATGCTGTGTGCTCTAAACACTGTTATGCACTGTACTAACACAGTAACTGCAACTAATTTTAGGAAGATAAAATTGCTTCTGTACTAACAAAAATGTACGTGAGGATCTTCATCACTAGTTGTCCTACTAGTAGCAAGAAAACCCAAACTGTATGGCTCCTGTTTTACTGTTGAGTGGCATAAAGGTGTCTTAGCTATATTACCTCTAATGAGCGTACTGCAGAGTTTTCTGTGGTGTGCAATGTATGCAAAACTTTGCTTAGGCTGAACTTCAACCAAAAAAAAAATATCCAGGGTAAAGCGTAACTCTCTGCAGCAACAGCACTGAGGTTTCACAAAGTCATGCCCTTGGTGCCTCTAAACTGCATCCTTAGTGTGTAAGTGATGTGACTTCAGTGGCATAATTTGTTTGTACAATGCGATGTTAAAATTAGTTCTTATTTCTTGTGAACTTTTCTAGTTCACCCACTAGACACTCATGGCAATTCCCATAGATGGGCTCTTGCATTTCTGGTAAGACTTGGGTCAGGATTGCAAAAGGTGTATAGACATACCAATAGATCTTTTCAGTTTTGCTAGTTGTTTGAAAGTTGGGGTAAAAGGTATTTATTAGAACACAGTAGAGCGTCCCCTTACCCAGCATGAACAAGGCCTGGTCTCCATAGTTCCTTTTATTTGTTTGTTCCTGTTTGTTAAAAGTAGTACTTTTGTTTACTTGCTTGAACTGTCTGGGCATCTGCTTAATTTGTTTGTTTGTTTGTTTTCCCCTTCACACAGGAACGAAATAATTGTCTGACAGACTCGAGAGCTTTGAGTGTCAGTCATACTGATCTGGCGCATTGAGATTCTTGGAGAGAAGCTAGCTAATATTCCTTGGTGAATAAAGAAGCACTGAGACCTTCAAAGCTTTGGTTCCTCATCATTACGTATAGGAACACCTAGTTTGTAGATTTTGTTGGGTTTTTTCCAATGGACTGCTGTTTTTACTTTTCTAAATAGGAACAATTTTAAACACATCATTAGTGGATATTTTCTTCTAAAGGAAAACTAGATAGAGGTATATTGCTCGTTGCACTGCTCCTGTTCATGCTACTTACGTTGATTTCTTAAATAGATCTGAATAGTACAGCAGCCAAAAAAAAAAAAAAAGGTAAAAATACAAACATAATTAAAGCATACCAAAATTAAAAGATGTTTGAAAATGCAGGCAAAATTAAATGTGTAGCAGTAAATATATACAGGGCTGAAATGAGAAAAGGATAAATTTATGTGCATTACTGTATAAATTCAAATTGAGCATACTGTATTGGTGGGGCTTTCCTTTGCACCACAGGTTATTGTAAAGTTAGAAACCTTAGCTGGCAAAACAGCACTTACACATGGCTTACTTAACCACTAGATTGAGCTATTAAATTTTACAAAGAGATGGTTGGGGTTACATTACATATAGGTAGCACGAATAGCAATACCCGTGACCGTAACTTTGACACTTATTGATAGAAGTCTTAGGGCACAATAATTGATGGAGGTAGGACGGCTCATGTTGATCAGGAGAAACAGAAAAATGTTTTGATCTTTACCTTGTCTGGTTGAGTTCTGGACTGCGCCTGTCCCAGAGCAGCTGCTGTTGCTCTTAGGGAAACGTCAAGCCTCAGGTTTCTTGCTTGTCCACTGGAATTTGCAATCCCATTCTCTGCTTGCTGAAGGTGCGCCACGTTTCCTGATGCTGATCCCAAATCCTGCCTTTCTCCGTCACAGCCAATGACCGCAGAAGAGGGCAGCTGCACGCTAGGCTGTTACACTGTGGAGTAGCTGCTGTGCAAAAGGACCGCTCAAGTCTGACAGGCCCCAGTGGCAAGCCACTTGTTTGACCACACATCCATGTTAAATCTACTTACGGTTAATATATATGCTGTCTGTATACAGGACTGCTGCTGGAACTAAGTATGTATGTTTTAAGTTTTTTATAGACACTAGTATTTCCTTTTGCTTTTCTGTAAAGCTTGTAATTTTGTTCATCTTTTGTAAAAATTCTTATTCATGTGACGTTGGATGAGAAAGTAAAAAAAACCAACCAGTGTGCGTACAAATGTATTTGTGGTCATAGTTGTGCGTTGGAAAATGCTGAACGAAATTAACTTGGGGAAAAGCTGGAATATTCACTCAAGGTTAGCACCAACCGAAGGAGGTAAAACAGAGACATAGGCAGGTGTTAGTATTTGAACAGGCTGTGAAGTCATTAGAATTAGTACTTCGTAGAAGTATTTGACTGTTTTTGCATCTGGTTTTAAGTTGGTTACGATAACTGATGCAAAAAGTTGTATATGTAATGCACTTAACTATGTTTACCAGTTATGCTAATACCTTATTAGCATTTCTCTGAAGAAAGCTGCGTATGGTATACCTGCTATAAAGACAGTTTAGAGGTGGTGGGATACGATGCTGCTAATGTGTAGAAGTTTTAGCACTGAGTAGTGCAATTCATTAATGAACCTGAGCAAGAACAGATTGTTGCTCAGTTACCTTAACAATGTAAACTCATGTAATGTAGACTCTTGAGTTTTAATCATTTTATTAAGAGCTTTTTATATAAAAATATACATAATATATATACTTCCCCCCCTGTCCCAAGCAGAACACGTTATATGCACCTGTGGGTGACTTTGGTTCCCTGCACAATGCCAGACGGAGCCGGCAGTGCACAAGGAGCTGTACCTCAGGGTGCTGAGCTGGGTGGGTACCTGTGTCCCCCTGACTGGGGCTGGCGGGAGAAACATCGGCGGCCCAAAAAACGCTGCACTGGGCAGCCTGCTGCGATGTCCTCCGAGAAACTTGCACTGCAACCCCGTGCAGTCAGCCTGTTTCACGCCAGCAGGATGCTGCTGCTATAGGAGCGGCTCAGTGAGCCTTGTAACACGCTTGCAGAGCTCCATGGTTCACTCCCAAGACTTTTACAAAAATTTGACTTCCAAAAAAACCCACAAAACCATTTAGAAGCAAAACTGATTTTGGTAATAAGGAATTACTTAAAAGAAACTGAACAATGTGTTTTCGACATTGATCTTTCAGCTTTGAAAGAAAATTATTTTTATAGCCTCCCCCCAAAAACTTGTGTAAATAGCAATAAAATATTTAACCAATGTACATTAAATTTTTAAAATGCAAGACCATGGTATATTGATGGTGATAGGGAACTTTCTTGTTCAGGATCTTACTGTTGGTGGCATTACTAGTAATGTGCTTTTAAATGTTTTAAACTTTTATATAGTATTTTAAAGCATGTTGGAAGATGAAATTGTTGAGCTACTGCTTATTAAACAATTCTTACATTTAAAAGGGTTTTTTTTTTTTTTTTCAAAGAAAAAAATTTCAATTCATAAATCCCCAGTCCTTACAGTTATGGGCCAATGACCTGTTTGCAGTTCAAAACTTGTAAAGTACAAAACCAAATTGAAGGTCAGCCTTCCTTGTGACTGAATCATGAATTACTTAGTTTCAGGACATGGTTTGTATACCTGTAAATGTCAGGTGGGCTTCTCAGTTGGCTTTTACATAAAAATGTCTGAATTTCTCCGTTCCAGTTGTAGCTAACAGTCTGCATAAAGCATAAACCCAAAATACCTGACTGTAGAACTCTCGGATGTCTTCAGTACCGAACTAAATCAACAGCTCTGAAACAGAAAACTAGAAAAGACCTTCAAAACAGACAGCATTTTAATCTAGCACCTTTGTCCTTGCCCAGAATTGTAAGGGTGACCTTAATTAAAAACATAATGAGGACTCCTGCTTAGGCCAGTTCCTCTCTTCTCCTGGGGTTTAACAGCAAGGGTTGTGCGTAGGATGAATTGTATGTTGAACTCTTATGGATAGAAGGGTACCTGTCAGCCTTCTGTCTTGTCTGGTGGTGTGCTGGTTGTTGGCAGTAATGACAATGTTTGGTCTTGAGTTTAGGTCTTACTAAATATTACTGTAAAATGTAACTGTTTCATGATTTGCTCTTAAGAGGAGTAACTGAACTATTGCTGTGATGTTTGTGCTTGGGAGTACTGCAGTGATAGAACATAGCACTTAAACAATGGAAAAATAATTGGACATGGTAGCTAGAGTTTGTACCTTTTCTTAAAACAAACAACATCCCTCATTCCCCCTGCCCCCCCCAAGCCCTTCTGAATGGTAGTAAATGAAAATGGTTTTAAGCTTGAGAAGTATTTGTGCTTAAATTGTACCATTTGAATCCAGTAATTTTGCAAACGGTGTGGTTCTGTTGTAAATACATAGTAAAAGGGGCGTGCAGTGCTTCATTGATGGTGTGTTTACAATACTTGATGAGTTAAAGTGAATTTAGTTTTTGTTATGCAGGTCATGTATTTTGTCTGAAAGCTGCTAAGAGAATTGCATTTTTGGTAATGTTAGCCTGTACTGAGAGAATAAATGTTAAAAGATATGATGCTGTCACATTTGTCACAGACTTACAGAAGTATTGGTATAAACATTGGCTCCTATTTTTTTTTAAATAGTTTAGAATTGAGGGAAATACTGAACATCTACATTTGATTATTGCTCCCCCAAACCATTCACAATAGTCTCAGTACACTGAATAGTCCAGGTTAATAGTGTGGGGTTTTTTTAATAAAAACCCAAAAACCTGCAATAACAAAGCAAGAAGCAAAGCCCAGTGCCCCCACCTGATAGAGGTCAAAAGATCTGAGTTGTTGGGGAAATGCTTGTGCTCGCAGGGAAGTTACAAAACTGCTCTGTAGTTGTGGCTGCTTTTTAATAAATATTTGAGAGAACTATAGTTGAAAGTTCATTTAATGCTCCAGCTACATCAAAAAGCTTGAAGCTGCTCTAACAGTTGTGCTGGCACACACGAGAGAGGCTAAAAATCATACACAAAATGGAACAAGCATAGTGAAGTAGCTTTTAAAACCAGTAGTTAGACTGAATTCACAATTCAAGCATGGGAAGTTGAGTCTTTAGTTTTAAATTATGTAGTAGAAGCATGATACGGGGTGGTGGTAGGTGACAGTGTAATTAAGCCAGATGAGTTCTATGGATTCTTCTGAGTTCTAGAACCTGGTTTAAAAAAACCAAAAAAACCCAACAACAGCAAAACCAGACAACCAGTTGTATTGCCCACGTATCCTTGAGGGAGACCCTCTTTCCCCCCCAATAACTGTATTTCATGTTTGATTTTAAAAAAATAAACCTTCCAAGATTGGTTTTAAGATGCTTCATTTTGATCTCCATGTGTAGCTACTGCTTGTCACAGCTATGGACAAAATCCCACTCAGAATTCACCTGTTTGTCTCACCCCATAAAACTGTTGAAAATAAACTTCCACAAATGTTACTTGTAACACTGTAGTAATTCACTGTGATTTCATCAAGAAACTTGTAATGAGCTTAATTAGTGTGGTGTACTACATCTGTTTGGTTAATAGGGCAGCCATGTACATTCTTTATCTTTACCAAGCACAAATTAATTTGGTTCTACTTTTCCAAAGCAATGTTTCCAGAACCCTTATGCTCTTTTTGCTGCAAAAGGCCTCTAAATACATCACAGATCTGCAGATTAATTTAAAACTGTTTAAAAGTTTCTCAAGTGTCATTTAAAGTTTCTTTTCAAAGTGTAGAAAAATATTTAAATGTAGTCTTACAGGATAAAGATGATATACTCAATACATTCTAGAATGTAAATCTTCTTTGTAAAGATTACTTCAGTTTTTTTCCTGTATAGATACAAGTCTCAGTTGTGAAATCCAAAGATGAATAAAGCTGTATAAAGGGAAGATTCTTAAATTGCATTTATTAAAAAACTTAAGCATGTTTCAACACTTTTGACATAAGGCTTCAAAGAGGGCTCGTTCAGGTTTCATGAGGGTTTGGTTTTTAAAATCAAATTAGCACAATAGGATGAGCAATAGATTGGCTAAAGTTCCTGTCCCAGATAAATAGGCCTGGAAAGGAAGAGAGTAATTTGAGTATTACCTATGCTGCATTAGTTTATGTGTGTTCATTAAAATTATTGTTAGGAAGGAGGCATGGAACATAAAGATTTGAAGACTGAGGCAGCTGTGCCTCTGAGCTATAGCACTCCCTTTTTCCTTACATTGAGTACATAAAGACATATAAGCTTCATGGGTGGATTTTTATTAAAAAATACCAGAGAGCATGCTTATTTTC